CTGTACATTTGTCACAGATGGAAAACTGGTAAAACGTTCACCAGGCGGTAATAAAATATTCTGTCGTCAAAGTGAAACCCTGATGAGGACAGCAGACAGAATGACTGAAGCACAACACCAGCTGCATTGTGGGTAACGTGAGCATCACATTTTCACATGTGTGGAGTAAAGAGGACCGTATTTATTTGGCCTTTTTGAACATCCGTCACGAGTCTGACGGTGTTTTGGGACTGAAATGTTAAAACAGAGAAACATTCGTGCTGCCGACTTTCACATCAGGTCTCCGATCTGTAGGGACTGACTGACTGACTGACTGACTGACTGACTGACTGACTGGTGTGAAAGCAAAGTGAACTATGAGCTCTTAGGTTATCATTTATTTACATGTTAAATATCGATGTGTTCGTTTCCAACCAGCTCAGCATGTTTGTGTTCATCTGGGGTTAGACGTCAGAGGCCTAACGTCTGCCTCAGAGGTTATATTTACATCCTCAAGACTTTTTGTCTTTTGAAAGTTGGTCTGAGCATTTCTTAAATGATCACAAAGTTAAACTTACAAACTATGTGAAATAACAAGAAGCTGATACTTTCATGCTTCTCCTTGACAATCTGGATGAACTGTGGATGAATTCTCCATGTTGCACGATATTAAATTAAAACAAAAACAAATTCTAAGAAAAACTGTTTCATAAGTTCTACAATTACAACAGTTTTACACAACGCTAGAATGGGTCAGCAATCAGCTCAGAATGGGGCTGACTTTGACTAAAATCGATGCATTTCCTGTTTAGTTTTCACCATTTAATGAACAAAAACGTTTATTATGTCGGAGTAAATGGAACCCCAACTGACAAAAGTGGTTGAAGTTTTTATTTATTTTAAATCTCTTGCTAAGACAAACTGATTTAGGACCAAAAATTCCTCTGTGAAGGAGGTTTTATCTCCTGGGTCACCATGTCAAGTCTGAGTTTTAGAGCCCACAGATGAATGAAATCCTCCTCAAAGCCTGAACGAGTGACCAAAGCATGCGCCAGATGTTCTGGCTGAGCAACATCTGAAATTAATAACTTAACATAAAACAGCAACATAAATTTGACCAAAACATACATATATTATTATTTTCTTTATTTCCTTTCTGCACTGTTTGACAATCTGATTTATTTATTTTGCTTATGTCTCTCTCTATATATATTCATATATATATTTATTTATTGTGTTTTATTCTCTGTTCTTCTTCTGCTTATGTTATAAGTATAATTGTGTTTGTGACCTTTAAAGGCCTTGAATCCTTGAATCAAACCAGCCATTCAAGGAGCAAAGCATCTGCCTGACAAAAGGGGGGCATAAAAACCAGCCATAAAGACACGTGTGTGAGTTTTAACATTCTGGAAAACCTGAATCATTCACAGCCTCCCAGTCAGGACCATTCTAATGTCATTTACTTCATAAACCAATTTCCTACCAGAGAGCTGATGACGTTAAAGAAAAGAAAACCTGATTTAGGGTGAACAACAGACAAACCCAACACGAGGCATCTTCTTCTCCTTCAATGTGCGTTTCTTTAAAGATTTTCTATCAGTGGGGTAAAAATAAAACCGTTCATGCGGCGATCCAGCGGGGGATTGGTTCAGTTAAGATGTTAGGCGGCGGGATGATCAACTGCTGCGTGCTGACATTTTTCCCTAAAAAATTGATTTTATAACTGCAGCACAGAGTCCCTCGCTGAAACCCTTTTGCCGAATCACCGGCTTTTGTTTTCACAGCGGTTTGGATCCGTCTTGTTTTTCGACAGCCTTTGAGAAAGAAACTACTGGAAGAGCTCCGTTTGGATTGAAAGATGTTTACATTTTACGGGTTGGTGTCTGAAGGCTGGGGACACATTTTTGAGATTTCTGATTGGATTAAAAAAAAAAAGCCTAAATACTTCATACATGCTTTTAGTCAGAGCTGTTTAGACCTTCTTTTTTTTCCCCCAAGTAGATTCAATTTTAATACAAAGACGAGCCCATACTACTTAAAATGCATTTTTAATGTACATGTACTTGCAACAACGCCGTCATCCCTCCGCAATCCAAACACATAATCCACTCCTGCTCAGATAAACATATTACAGATGAAGAGAAAATCTTGTCTTAGAAAACCCGACATGTTGTTTTTATCCTGAAAAGCCGCGCTGGATGAGACGCCGGTGAATTTATGTTCAGTACATGTTGATTTGGATGTTTTTCATCTCGACGTTTGTTTGTTTATTCCACCTCTCGCAGAATCCCGTCGTGAAAACTGCTGAAGCAAAGATGTGAATTGTTTTGTATTCAAACACCAGTGTTGACTACTTTTCACAGTTTTTAATAAAATAATGCATTATGGTACATTTTCTTTTCATCGTCAGCGTCATAAGGCCCTTTTTTGGTTCTCACACTTCCACTTAAGACATCTGTTTGATCATCCGTTTGGAGTGCTGGTGCACGGCCTCCACGAAGGCGCCCACGTTCTCCGGGTCCATGTCGGGGTAAAGGCCGTGGCCCAGGTTGGCGATGTAGCCTCTGGTGCCGAAACCCTCCAGCATTTTCTTCACGATGTCTGAAATGCGCTCCTGAAGAAGTAGAGGAAGGAGGGTTAACGTTAAGGGTGAACCAGGAGGCGCTTTTAGTTCAGTCAAAGTCTGAGATAGACTTTAGTCAAACTGGGTCAGAGGACAGACAATTTGTTGGAACCGTGTGGAAACATTTGAACTCTTCATTGCAACAGACAGACGTGTATGAAGTGAAGCACACAGCAGAAATACGAGGCTGCTGAAAATAGCAGTGAAGGAGGAAGAACAAGTTGGAACAACAGGTTAGCAGGTTATCAGAAAGTAAACTCCTGTGTGGTTCAGAGCTGATTGTGTCGAGCTGAGTGGATCGATGATCTGAGCATCAGCATCTCTGCAGAGAACTGG